GGATGTTTTCAGCTTACAAGAGGGATTGATTTCCATCATATGGCTTTCCATAGACATATCTAGATCGGCGGTAGATGAAGGAGAGGTTAGTTTAGGAGTAAGACGATAGCTCACAAGTCTTTCGTTTGGTTTCGTCTTCTGTGGAGCTGTTTTGGTGAGATTTGGGAGGGGTGAGGCTGTGAGTTCTACCGTGTTGGCTGTGTGTTCATCTATTTTGGTGGCTTGCGGCGCCTTGCCATTAGGCTTATTGAGGTGATTGTGAGCACACCTTTCAATCACTGTCTTATCTGCTACAACTTTTATTTGTTTGTAGCTTGTGTCCTGTAATAAGATACGTTGTGTGTTGGTGAATTTTTTCGCCCGTGACAGAGTTTCAAAATGAAGGCGTATAAGACAGCAGTGGTCATGCTGGCTCTTCTTCAGTCTGTGACATTTCGTTTGGGAGTTGGGCATTTTCGCCGCCCTAAGTAAGATGCTTTGAACCTTTTACAACCCCTCAATTCTTTTGATAACCTTTGTTGTGATGAAGTTTATCAAGGTGTCTACCTTAGTTACTGATTCTGAGTCAAGTTCGCAAGGGTTTATGGACCCGGTCAGAATGTTCAGAGGTGCAAGTTCGCAGACTTGTGATTTTATGCCACTAATCTGTGTTGATAGTTCAGATATGTTGGCCAAATTTTCTGAACATCCTTCATTCATAGCCTTACTACACCTTATGTCCCGCAGCTCAGTCTTCAGTTCTTCTACAGACATCTTTAGTCGTTCGACTTCTGAAGTAAGTGCTAAATCTGGGCTTGGTATCTAGAGTTTTATGACACTTACATATGGTGAAGTAAAGAGGCCTATGTCAGGACCAGGTGCTGAGTTTGTAGAAGCAACGCTGATACTAGTTGTTAGAATAGTTTTGGTGTCACTTCCGGCCACATTAGATGATAGTGTTACAGCAGCTCGACGCTTGCGGCGTGTTGGCAAGCTGTGTGTCTCACTTCCATATTTTGTGGGAGTTGTGTTGCTCGTTGTTGCGAGCACATATATACTATCAGTCATCAGTTTAACAGCTGACTGAGTTTGTGGCTTTTTTGTATGATGAACCATAACTAGTTAGTGACAGAGTTATTGGTTACAGTTATGGAACTGGAGAAACGCTTGTGCGAGTCTCACAGCAAAAATAGAAATATATAGCGAACCAAGGTAAAATGCAACGCAAACGTTGCACCGCATATTATATGCCAAAAATTACCCTCTTACATACCCGACCTCTCCTTAACAAAGTAACATCACTACGCAGCCTCGTGTACACACGGAATGGCCAACACTAATCCTGGTAAACGAAACCTGGCTAACTAATGACATACCTGACGCAAAGCTAGTAGAAGCTATAAATGTAGGAGGATGGATGCAGTGCGTGAACCTGCCAAGTCGACAAGAAAATATCCTCAACTTAATCCTCTGCCACAAAATGGAGCCGATCTCGATAGAGATGTAGGACAAACTTGATAACAGTGATCAAAACATACTGTAGCGCACTCTAACCCTTCAACTAACAGCTGAACACACACCTAACAATTCTCCAGTTTACTATCAATATACGAAATACAGAAACGTCGGCTGGGAATTTCCACCCTAAAATTTGGAAAAACATGTACATATTGCCTAAGCATAGAGCAGGAGCAAAAATTAATGCATGCAATTAAAGGCCTATCAGTATAAAACCTGTCACATCAGGGATCATGGAGGAAGTAATCGAAGACCAAATGTGAGGCTACTTTTTAAACTCATCAGTCGGTTACAGCACGGATTACCCAAGAAAAGATCATGCATTACTTGCCATTCAGACTTTTTCAACGAGGTCACCTTCAGAAGAGATAGGAGGAATCTGGTAATTATCCTCTATTTTAATATAAGGAGGGCCTTCGACAGAGTTCTACATAATCTGATAGTCAGCAGTTTACGCTCAAGAGGGATACGCAGCCCTCTCCGCAACTGGATAAAAACCATTTCTCTGTGACAGAAATCGGACGACAAAAGTTGGCTCAACGACCTCCTGGCGTAGGCCAATTAGCAGTTGTGTCATCCAGGAGGATGTATTGAGCCATCTTCCCTTCATAATATGCATAAAAGATATATTTGAATGCTTTAGCATAGGTAAAACAACACTGTATGCACATGACTTAGAGATGACCAATGCATGCACAAGTACAGATATCGGTATAACTGCATGCACGTGTAATAGTAGTGATACAACACCTCACCCATATATCTGGAAAATTCTACTACAGCAACGAAAAATAGGAAAGAACAAAGAGGACTATAAAACTCAAGTTTCGAAATCATGTATTTGTAACTCATATGACTTTGAACAATAAATTTTGTTCTAAACGTCATCCAGAAACACAACTGTTCTACTGTTTGACAAATCTATTAAATAATCTAATATGGATTGCTGCTGTTTTGCAGACATGAACGACTTCTCCCTGCAGTACCTTGCAACCATCCTGTAAGCGGTAATACGGGAACCTCTGGCAATTATCAGGTTTCTCAACCATGCGAACTTCAGTCAAAGCTCATGGATATCAACAGGCATCAACGGTCAACTCATCCTGAAGGAGTAATTTATGGAGGTCCTCTTCGACAGATGTGGGTTGAGACATATAGACTAGTCTAAAGGGTAGCTCCCGTACATTTATCAGACTAACAAATTGGCACTGTTTTATGTCGATGCATTACTTTGGGGTACTGGTTGGCAAAACTTGCCACGTGCAATCTCACTGTATGGGTGAAGCATCCAACGTGACTTGGAAATGGATCTTGCAACGTGACCCATGAGGAAACATGCAGCATCCTCCATCATATCTAAATTTCTTCATCAATATCTGATGGGCTACGTGGAATCAGTGGTTGGGTGCTCAAGACGTTAGATCGGTTGTCTGATCGGAACAGGCTTCACCCTTTAATATATGACAAAATGGTTAGGCATAAATGAAACACTTGCCCCACAGTGGTGTTGATCGCTAACCAGAGGCACTACTGTGGCGAACCTACTAGTGCGCTGACTGCTATCTCCTTTTCCGAAGGTTTGGCCTAAACATGTGTAGCCAGCCGTAGTAAATATAAGGATATCATGACGTGAGATAGGCTGTTTGTGAAAGAATCAAAGCAACAAGACTGTCAAAACCTCTTCGATGTTCCGTTAATTTCTAGTGGTCAGACTGTCATGCCGTTTTTCTCAAACAACTATTGAAATATTTAATTTAGAGAGAAGCTAAGACAGCCTCTGGGGAGTGTGAACACTCAGATGACCTTGAATGCATTCTGGTTGTTGGGTAACGACACCTGTTGTTGTTATAGCGAAAGTATGAACTCTATACACCAACTGAAGAGCAAATCTCACACAAATCACGTTTTCGAGTGCTGTTTGGACAGTAGGTTAATAGCTCAGTAGGGTTAGGGTTAGGACTAGGGTTAACGTTGGGCTAACCATGAAGCTTAGGGGGCAACTCTAAAGAAAAGCAGCCCAAACCGAAACGACTTTTGAACGCACAAGTGACCTTGAGCAAGTAATCAGCTGACTCAATAATTTCCAGAGGTACTTATGGATACTGTACACCTTTTGCGCTGTAAATTCGCTCCCGATCTTGTTTTGATTACTGTTTGGAGAACGGACTGTTCGAGAACCTATTTCGTTCGTTTTAAATTTACAGATTCCCTAGGTGCTTTCGATAAGGAAGTATAATCGAGGGAGATTGGGTGTGAATCAGAAATACGTATTGGGGATATATGTCACCAGCGTCCAGAAAAGATATATTGAGGCGATCCCTAATCGCAGTGCAGGTGTACTATAGTCTACTATCCACTGCTTAGTGCTACCTGGGACGACTATTTATACAGATGAATGGAGTAGTTACAGTCAGTGATCGAATCTGGGCTATATTCGTCAAGTGGTCAGCCATATAAATGGTTTTCTCAATCCTTTTGATGGAACTCACACTAATTTCATTGGAAGTTTCTGGAGTCTTCTAAAAAAGTATTAAATCTGTGGATAAATCAAGAAATCTAATAATATACAGTTATCTCGACGAATTTATCTACAGGACTTGGTTTAACATGAGAATCAAGACTCCTGTGAGAAATTGGGAGGTTTTCTCGTAGCATATACTAAAATGTTATCCTTTGTAAGTGATTTTTAACGTCGCATTACTCGTATATAAACGACTTATCAAAATCATGCGCCGATTTTTTAGCCTTCTGATTGCTTGGAGTTGTCAGTGTCATATATCCGTTCGCTAGGTAGTTTCGGTTGTGGCTGCTGTTATATAAACTTGCCGCTTAGGGTTATTACCAGGATTTGGTTTCATTATCCACAATTCCCATATAGTGTCATGCATCCTTTCACTGAAAACCATAGTAATTCAACCAAGGGCTTTTGAAGAAAACTAAAAAACCGGATAAGAGCGATAAATGGGTCAGAATATAGGCTCACCTTAAGTCACCTCGGTGAATACATGTATACAGACTGGTCTAACTTGATAAAATGACGCTCCTCACTCTAAGTGGGATGTATTTTTAGGCCGTATCATTGTAAGACACCCTAATTGATGTGTTTCCATGCATTTTCTCGTAAGTAAACCTCATTTCGCTTGCAAACATCACTTAATTTTATGGATGATCGGCTAGAGGTCAATGATACTCTTCATCATTACTGAGACGTATATTTAAGTCATGTTAGAGAAAGATGATCTGTTTAATGTGTTTTCATGCATTTTCTTGTGAATATACATGATTTTTGTGCAAAACTTCCTCATTTTTATGATTGGCTGGCTCAAGGTCACTCTTGCGTTCGCATCCCTTAAGACTCTATTGTTGAACTTTGCCCAAATTAGAGTCCACTAAGCTGAAAATATGTAATGTTTATGCGACTTTTATCACTATCATTTCAAAGCCCGCCTCAGTAAGGTGAGCTACGTATTAGCCGCAGCGTTTATGCGAAGTAAAATCTACCAATGATAGTATGCATATGTGACCTTGAAGTGGTCAGCATCTTCAAAAAAGGTCGTGTGAGCCATTATTCATTGCCTTTTGCACATTGGTCAAACTTTGCAGCGAAGATGAATGTTGACAAGGGGAAGTCTGTTATTTCAAACGGGCTGCTCAATGAGTGTAATAAATCCAATTTCAGTGAAACGAATTTACCTGGACAACTAAATAACATCCACATGGAAAATGTAAGTAAATGTTGAACGGAATGCACAGTTTTACTTAGGATTCACTTAAAACTGTTCCTACTGAATTTTTTCAATGCTCATCAAAATCGAGAGATCATTCAGGAATTTCTGACACTTATACCTCCCATTCTAACCATAAACCATGCAACTGCGCCAAATCTCATTGTCTCAAACTGTATTGCGGATGTTTTGCTCGAGGCAGTGCTTGCAATAACTGCAACTGTACTAACTGTATGAACAATGGTCTTCATGAAGAAGATCGTCGGAGGGCAATAGAACTCACTTTGGAAAAAAATCCACTGGCATTTCATCCGAAAGTCGGTAAGGTGGTTCTCACTGCTTACTACTTTAGGCGACGGCGAACGACGACACTCAAAAGGGTGCAACTGCAAAAAGTCCGGCTGCCTGAAAAAATATTGCGAATGTTATGAGGTTTCATAGTAATTACTTAACCAGTCTCACTTACAGGCGAAAATTGCGTGTTCTAACTTATGTCGGTGTCAGGGATGTCGAAACGCTGCAAAGGAACACATGCAGCCAAAATCAGACGCCAATTCCCCTGGGACTAGTCACTCACTATTACACAAAAGGTAGGCTTTCGTGGACACTTGTTATTTATTCTGAACCGTTTGTTTCACTTATAGTCGAGATACATTTTGTTACAAGGAGAATCGTGTCCAACTACCACCTGCTAACGAAGCTTTCAGAGGAATATTGGGTACACTCAAATCAAATCTACCTACTGAACATGGATATATAAACAGACCAAAATCGGTAATCTGAGTTTCCAAGTCATATTTTTAAGTTTATTTCCTACGAATCAATTAAGGCAGCATGCAGCTGTATGCTTGCTCACGCCAATGAAGCTGCACTCAGAAATCTTTCCGACTATGAACAAGAAAAGGTTATCATAGATGAATTTCTAAGATGCTCTGAGCAAATAATCCAGCCAATCATTAGCGTTTGAGTAATGTATTGTGTGTTTACGTTAATCGTGTTAATGTTTTCACACTTCGGTTGCACTTTGTCTTCTTCATTCAGTTTAGAACCTTTGGTCGATTCTGCAAAATTTCAAAACGAGTTTTCACTTTCTGGTTTTGTTATACCTCTTAACATCTTTTATACTGATGACAAGTATCGCATAATACCATGGTGAGATTTATTTTATGAGGTTAAACACACATGGATGACTGACTTGGTGCTTTTAATTTTTGATGTAGACGAAGTGGAAAGTTTGAGCTGTCTCCCTTTCCAACCAGTGATTGGCTGATGTTCACTCTGCATGAACTGTAGGATAAAATACGTGGATACTTTCAGCACCTAAATAAAAAAGTATCAAAGTGAAGCACCGTAAGTTAAGTATTGGATCGTGGATGTCTGGACAAAACAGTTTTAACATTCTAACTATTTCAGCGGACGACATTTTCATGTGCACAATCGTGTGTAATTCTTAAACCTAACATTTCACCGAGTGAAATGTGATCTGTCTGTCTGTCTGTTTTCGACATAGAACTTTGCACAAATGTGCGGAAGTTCAAGTCGCCACATTCCGTGTAGCACGCGAAGCAAGAGAAGAAAGTACAAGAAAAGCATAATAGAAACAGTGAGCAGAGGTGTGAGACAAAGGAGTAATAAAGAAATACAAAACAGTTTCATTGAAGATCATAAGTCACAGGGAGTGGATGCATCTGCGCCACTGAGAACGATTTTGAGCCATGTCACCAATTGTTTCCAACCATAGATTTTTACCGTCCCGAGGACCCCAGCCTGGAAGTCTACACCTTTCTGTCTGTCTGTCTGTCTGTCTGGATTCAACATAGAACTTGGCACCGAAGTGCAGCAGTTCGAGTTGCCACGTTCCAAATAGCACACAGAGGTAGACAAGAAGATGAGTGAAGAGAATCAATAGAGTTTGACAAGTATAAGAGTGAAACAGAATGGGTAATGGTAGAAAGGAATATGAAAGATTACAGAGATTGAATACATCTGCGCCATTGACAACGATTTTGAGCCATGTCACCTATTGTCTCCAGCCATTGATTCCTAGAGTCCCGAGGGCCCCAACCCGGGAGTCTGCATCTCCCTACCTGACTCAGTTTAACTGTCAAGGATTTCATGGATTGATGCCATGTTTTTGTTTGGCCACCACTGGCTCTTTTCCAACCTGAACCTATATCAGCTAACAATGCCCGTCGGGGGAGGCGGTGGTTAGGCATGCGCAGCACGTGACCTAGCCATCTTAGTCTATGTAACTTTATAGCCTCGTCGATTGATTTTCCCTCTTTGCCCAACACTCTACGCCTAACGTCAACATTACTTATCTTGTGAAACCACCTAACGTGAGACAGAGATCGCAGACATCTATGATCGAAAGCAGTCAACCTTTTCATGTCTTCAACGCGTATTGGCCATGTTTCAGAGCCATAGAGAAGGACGGAGCGAACTGATGAGCAGTACACACGTCCCTTGGTTGATAACCGGATGTCACGCCTACGCCAGAGATGGTGTAAGTCAGCGAAAGCAGCTCGAGCTTTTCGGATCCGTGCTGAGATTTCATCGCCAATCAGTCCGTTGGTGCTAATACAACTTCCCAAGTAGGTGAAGTGGTCAACATGTTCTATCACTTCACTCCCTATCACTAAGTTAGGGGTTGACGTTGTCCAGTCCTGTAGCAGCATCTTACATTTTGTAGGGGCGAATCGCATGCCAAACATACGAAGATTGCTGCTCAAGGTGTTCAGAAGACTCTGCATTTTGTCAGCATCCTCCCCTAACAGGACTATGTCATCTGCATATTCTAAGTCCATAAGATTATTCCCTGGTAACAAGTCGATTCCTAAGTCACTACGTTCAGTTAAGGATACTTCCATTAGCATATCTATGATGAAGTTAAACAGAAATGGGGAAAGTGGACATCCCTGTCGGACACCACTGGTTGTTACTAATTCAGATGACAATTCCCCATAAGCCCTTACACGACTACGTGAGTTTGAATAGAGTGCCTTGATTAGTGCAATGTACTTTCTTGGCACTCCCTTCACAGTCAGACATTGCCATAGTACTTTTCGGTCCACGGAGTCGAAGGCCGCCTTCAAGTCAAGAAATATGACAATTGTTGGACGCCGAAAAGTGTGTCTATGTTCTAGAATCTGTCGAAGAGTGAAGATATGATCTATGCACCCTCTACCTGGTCTAAAGCCTGCTTGATTTTCCCTTGTCTGTTCCTCCCGAGTTCTGCTTAGTCTATGCATGATTACTGAGCCTAGGATTTTAGAGACTATGTTCGTTAGGCTGATCCCCCTATGATTATCACACGAGGACTTGTTTCCCTTCTTGAATATCGGTATAATGAGTGACTTACCCCAGTCTGATGGTACTGTCTCTGATTCCCAGACTTTGCCTAGTACCTCAGTTAATCTACAAACTAGTATGTCACCCCCATATTTAAACACCTCCGGAATAATTCCGTCGGGTCCTGCCGCTTTGCCTCGTTTCAAATTACTGATAGCTTTTGTAACCTCACCTACAGACGGCGGACCAGTGTCTATATCCCATTCGGGTACGTGGTGGATGGCGGGGAGGTTCAGTGTGGCTGTAGGCAAGTTAAATTGTTCCTCAAAGTGTTCTTTCCAGCGTTCAAGGCGTCTATCCTGAGAGCTAATTAAGGAGCCATTTTTCTCAGAAATAGTCTCACTTATGAATTGCCTTTTCCCGCCCGATTCTGTGATGAGTCTAAAGAGTTGCCTAGTGTTGCCTATCGCCAATGCTTTTTCCATCTCTTTCGCCTTTGTCACCCACCACTGTTCACGGTCCTTGCGGAGACTTTTAGTAAGTTTCCTTTTGTGCAGCTTTCGCTCCTCATTGAATTCGGAGCTCGCCGGAATAAGTCTTCTAGCATCTATCAGTTCGGATGAGGCAGTCGAAATCCAGTGGTTTTTACTCACCTTTGGATTTGTCTTATTCACAGCTTTTACAGCTGTATCTATAGCTGACTGAATATTCTTCCAGGCTTCTCCAGGGTGAGCACAGCTGTCGAATTCAGATATGCGTTTAGCTAGTTCTTCCTCAAATAGGGATTTAGTTTCCTGATCGAGCTGGGGGCGTGGCTTAGACCAACTGTTGTGGATTTCATTGACTGGTGCCAAGTTTTTGTTTGACCGCCTCTAGCTTTTTTCCAGCCTGACCCTATATCCGCTAACATAGCTCGTCGAGGGAGGCGATGGCTTGGCATACGTAACACATGTCCTAACCATCTCAGTCTTTGTAGCTTCACGACTTCGTCGATTGATTTCCCTTGTTTACCTAGAACTCTGCGCCTAACCTCCATGTTGCTCACCTTATTATGCCACTTTACACGGGAAATAGAACGCAGGCACCTATGATCAAAGACAGCTAGTCTTTTCATGTCTTCCACTCTCAGTGGCCAGGTCTCACAACCATAAAGGAGGACGGAGCGGACTGATGAGCAGTACACCCGCCCTTTGGTCGATAGTCGAACATCTCGTCTACGCCAGAGTCGGCGTAAACTAACAAATGCGAAACGAGCCCCTTGTATTCGTGCTGAGATTTCGTCAGAGATCAACCCGTTGGGGCTGATGGTACTTCCCAAATAAGTGAAGCGGTCAACGTGCTCTACCACTTCACTTCCTATTTTTAAACTAGGCGTCGATGTAGTCCAGTCCTGTAACATCATCTTGCATTTGGCGGGAGCGAATCGCATGCCAAACATTCGTAGATTGCGGCTCAAGGTGTTTAGAAGACTCTGCATTTCGTCAGCGTCTTCGCCTAGAAGGACTATATCGTCTGCATATTCCAAGTCAACGAGATTATTCCCCGGTAGCAAGTTAATTCCTGAGTCACTGAAGTCACCTAGGGTTAAGTCCATTAACACATCTATGATGAAGTTGAATAGAAAAGGGGATAATGGGCGTCCTTGACGGACACCACTGGTCGTCATCAGTTCAGATGACAGCTCGCCGTAAGCCCTCACCTGGCTGTATGAGTGCGAATAGAGTGCCTTAATCAGTGCAATATATTTTCTTGGAATTCCCTTTACAGCCAAGCATCTCCAGAGAACTTCCCGATCGACAGAGTCGAATGCTGCCTTTAGGTCAAGAAATATAATGACTGTTGGACGCCGGTAGGAATGACTATGTTCTAGAATCTGTCGGAGGGTGAAGATATGATCAATACACCCTCTTCCTGGTCTAAAGCCTGCCTGGCTCTCTCGTGTTTGTGCTTCCCGAGCACCACTCAGTCTACGCATGATTATTGAGCCTAAGACTTTAGATACTATATTAGTCAAGCTAATCCCTCTGTGATTATCACAGGAAGACTTGTCTCCCTTCTTGTATATGGGGATAATCAGTGACTTACACCAACCCGATGGGACTTCTTCTGATTCCCAGACGCTGCCTAGTACCTCAGTTAATCCGGACAGTAAGCTGTCTCCACCGTACTTAAATACCTCTGGAGTCATTCCATCAGGTCCCGCTGCTTTGCCTAGTTTCAGATTGGTGACAGCTTTAATAACCTCAGTTAGTGACGGAGGACCTGTATCTATATCCCATTCAGGGAGGTGTTGGATGCTCGGAAGGTTGAGCGTGGCTGTGGGCAAATTAAACTGCTCCTCATAATGCTCTTTCCAACGATCCAGTCGTCTATCCTGTGAGCTAATTATAGTGCCATTTTTTTCCGAGATTGTCTCACTAATGATTTGTCTTCTCCCACCCGTTTCCCTGATGAGTCCAAAGAGTTGCCTGGTGTTGCCTATCCTCAAAGCTTTCTCCATCTCTTTGGCTTTTGTCGCCCACCACTGTTCACGGTCCTTGCGGAGACTTTTCGTAAGTTTCCTTTTGTGCAGCTTTCGCTCCTCATTGAATTCGGAGCTCGCCGGAATGAGTCTTCTAGCATCTATCAGTTCGGATGAGGCGGTGGAGATCCAGTGGTTTTTACTCACCTATGGGTTTAACTTACTCACAGCTTTTACAGCTGTATCTATGGCTGCCTGGATATTTTTCCAAGCTTCTTCAGGGTGAGCACAGCTGTCGAACTCAGATATGTGTTTAGCTAGTTCTTCCTGAAATACGGATTTAGTTTCCTGATCGAGCTGGGGACGTGATGGTTTTTCCGCCAGCTGTTTCCTACGTCCGTTCAGTCGTAAGCACACCCGAGCGCGGACCAGTACATGGTCGGTATCTACGCACGTGTTCCAGAAGGAGCGACAGTCTCCTACCGACCCACGCCAACGATAGCTTGCGATAGCGTGATAGCGTCTTTGTTTAAGCAAGTCTGACGTTATCTTACGGTCTGTTGGAGACTTGTAGTCCAGTGTCAAATGTATTGGATGAGAATTCTTACCGAGATTGATCTGTCATATTCTGCTAAAATTTTGTGATTTTGTAGCTGCACTTGGTATGTCCACTTGAAGCTTCATGCCATCCGTCAAGGGTTCTTGAAGCTGCTTCATGCTTCAGTGGAGTTCACTTATTCGTCATAATTTCGAATTTGTGTGCCTTGAATATACGACGTGGGTGTTGAGTCCACTTTTTACTTTTGTAGTATAGATTATTCCTGCTCATTGTTAGAAGGTATCCAAAATGTTAAGACGTCTAGTTGTCTCAAGCAAGGATGATCTCAATTGTGCATTAGTATGCAAGTGCAAAAGCGCACCTCACTTTGACTTACTTTGACTTTGTCACAAAAGTGGATGGAGTTTGTGCGAATTCGTATGTTTCACAATTGTGATACATAGCAAACACGAACGCTTTCGGGATTGAAATCAAAGTGTTGGAAAGATTTCATAACTGTGGTGACTGCAAGTTGTGAAGCTACTCGGTTAGCACTTTATTCACAGAGTTCGTGGCCAATTGATTGGCTCAGTTGACCTTATGAAGTGATTCTGATTTTAATTTTAAAGCGGTTGGTTTTTAGTCATGAAAGTATGACAAGTCATATTATTTCACTATTTGCTTTCCCTGAATAGACTGTGTGATTTCACAAATCTAATCCAAAGTAATGTCTATGTACACAACCTGTCTAAAAGTGTTCACTCAGTCAAGTTTCAAAACAAACTGACATCGGAGTAAATATTAATTTCTCGATAAGTGAGTCAGTTTGTGAGTGAGGTTTGTTAGTTAATTGAGACGGCTGAAGTGATTATCTCCTGTTATTTATTGTTCACTTTGGAGTAATTTTAAGCCGAAGAACCTGCACGGAACGTAAGGAAATTTCACTCATGTACCTGTGGAATAATTATTTGAGTTATCGCCTTTCGCCGACTGAAGTCAGTCACGGTCGACTCTGTATTTGGGTGCGTGTGTGTTTACTCCTCCATATCTTAGTATCCCCTCCTTCGGAGTTATTTCAGCACCGTCTCCCTTATTTCCTCCTATACTTTTGAGTTTGCGAGTCAATACACTTGTAATATGTGGATTAGTGCTCTATTACCAAAATCTTATTGGAAGGAATATCATGAATAATTAACCCCACTGTAGTATTGTCTTATAAGTAGATATACGTTGTAGTGAAATAGATGAGCTAAGTGAGGACCTGCATGAATAGATTGAATCACCATGTCAGTTATACTGGTGAATATTTTGTGCCCTACCAATTAGGAAGTAGAGTGTACAAATGCCACGAGACCGGTGATGTTCTTCATCTTCATAGCAGTGACATCAATGCAGGGTGCCACCAATACCCTTTTAATTCGCAAGCTTTGTATGTAATGCTACTTAGTAACAATCTGAGGTATAACATCTGTGTATTGATGAAACTACTTTTCTCGTTTGGATGAATTTGAATCATATTTTGTGGCACGCTGAAAGCCGATCTTGTTCACCTCAGTCTGAAGCGTTAGTCAGATGACAGTCCACTTTCGTAGCCTGATGCACACACTTATACCTGATTTGTAAACATAAAATCTAGCGTTAATCTAAGTGGGCTTCATTTGAGTAAGATTTTGTGGAGTTATATATTGTGTGTTGAGAATGGACAGCAGAGAATACGGTAGCTACACACAGTCAACATTGATCACTTTGTAAGTCTGTTTAAACAGAACCGGAGTTCTAGCTAGAAAGCCTTGGAGGGATGGAGTGCTCAGAAATATTTTAGGATTTGGGAAGTATTTGTGTACATCGTTTGGCAAACTTCTTCGCCTTATGAATATGCAAGGAGCCAATATTGTTAGACATAATTTGCGAAGAAGACGACTCCTGAGTAATTCCATCAATTATGTCATCCATTGTTACTCAGTAATAATAATGATAATAATAGTTATAATTTAATATGTGAGTGCTTGGCACTATTCGGACCATAAATGTTGTCATTACAAGTAAGCTATATCCCGTAATATCTGTCCAGTAAATTGTTACGTCATTCGGAATCTTACTTGACTGCTTGACTTTTTATTGACTTTGTGCATTCCCATTCAGAAGGCAATGATGTATCGCACGTCTAGTTCTTCATTCACTGAAAACTGTGGAGAAAGCAGTAATCACAGTTTCATCATTGTGTTGCCTACATTGCCAAATAATTTTTCTTTTCAGAATATGACCGAGGATGATTGCTCTACAAGTAGTAAACAATGCGAAAATGCAAATTCTCCATGTAGAGCCGAAGATGTTGGCTATAATGCTTCATGCTCATCCAAGAAAATTCAACAACGAGCACTATGTGACATAACTGGGCAAACCAATTTTTCGAGAAAAATCAGTATGGGCTTCGAAGTGCTAATTTGCCGAATTTTATAATTGTTACAAGTTTTGAAGAACTTCCAGGTAACTACAACGAAAATTCCTCAAAAACCACCTAGGAGCATCCCAGAAGTGAGTAAATGAAGATTGTGTGCTCAGCTTTTCAATAACTGTTTTCTGTAATGTAATTATGAATATTTCAATAAATATGTACCAGTTTACTTTATTTTACATATTGCATAAATAAACATTATAATAATCTCAGAGAAATGTAAAATTGTTGGAGCAAGCAGCACTACATTAGTTATGATTCAGTCGGGATATAGCGAAGAGCAACGAGTTTAAATATGACACAACTTGGTCAGTGTCATAACTGTTGGTTTGACATTCGTAATGGTGTGCAGTCGACCTTAATGTAAATCTAGATATTATTTAGTTAAGTATTTGTAACCTTTAGTGATGTGACAGAGATTCGTCCAAAAATGTGAAGATATATTTAATTTGAATACGTGCGTTTATCTTGATTTACACAGCTGGATTCTTCCAATCCTCCCGAATGTGTCATCTGCTTGATGTACGCAAATTTTGAACAATGGAAAGTCAATCACCAAAGAAGTGGAGCAAAGAAAACACTGGGCTACAGAAGACTTCTAAATCGACCGCCACCTACAACGCATCCAACAATACCAACAACGGAAGCGGAACTACCAGTGAACATCGACGAAATCAGAAGTCCTGAATGCAATCAAGATGCTAAAAGCTGGGAAAGCAGCAAGACCAGATGGAATCCTAGCAGAAGCATTGAAAATGGACCCAGAGACAACAGTGGACTTGGTGACGCCATTGCTGAAGAAGGTGTGGAAAGAGGGCAAGGTACCCGAGGATTGGAAGAAAGGATACTTATTCAAACTAGCAAAGAAAGGAGACTTAAGTCAATACAAAAACTGGCGCGGAATTATGCTACTGTCCATTCCAAGCAAAATACTAAGCCGCATCATCCTGGAGAGAATCAAACACGTCGCCCTGGATGAAAAACTTCGACCGGAACAAGCTGCATTGAGGAGAAAGAAGTCATGTATTGATCAAATCGCCACTCTACGCATCATCATTGAACAAAGCTTGGAATGGAAGTCACCTCTCTATCTCAACTTCATCGACTTTGAAAAGGCTTCGACAGCGTCGATCGAGAGGTCATTTGGCAACTACTTCGCTACTACGGGTTGCCATCGACAATTATACATCTCATCCAACAGTTATACGATAATGCTGCATGCCAAGTAATCCACAACGGGAAACCTACGGAATCCTTCGAAGTGAAGTCAGGAGTAAGACAAGGCTGCTTACTATCGCCAGTGATTTTCCTGATTGCAGTAGATTGGATAATGCGACAGAAAACGGCAGGCAGTGAGGAAACAGGCATAAAATGGACTCACACAAAAAACTTGGAGGATCTGGACTTCACCCGCGATGATATTTGTCTGATTTCCCACAAACTGGAAGATATGCAAGTGGAAAGCAACAAGCTGGCAGAAGAAGCATCCAGAAAAGATAGGACTTCAGGTTAACGTAGAGAAAGCAGAGGTGACGTAGATTCCTGGCCAACAACAACAAGAGACAACAATCAGCACAAATGGAAGGAACCTGAAAGAAACAACCTCCTTTACCTGCTTACCTGGGAAGCATCGTTTCAACTACAGGCGAACGGAATTGACGAGGATATCAAAGCCAGAATCGGAAAAGCAAGACAAGCTTTCACTACTCTGAAGTCTGTGTGGAAGTCAACAGTACTCAGCATAAAAAATAACATCCGGATTTTCAACTCCAATGTGAAGTCAGTCGGTGCTACTATACGGATCAGAGACTTGCACTGAGCGTCATAAAGAGCATCTCAAACAAACATCAGACCTTCATTAACAGTTGTCTTCGCTCAATACTCCGCTCAAGATCAGATGGCCGGCGAGAAAAGATCAGCAGTAGTGAGGGATCTCTGGCAATGAGCGAACCAACCAGGAACTGATTGCGAAACAAATAGGCAGGAAGAAATGGAGGTGGATTGGCTGGCCATACTCTGAGGAAACCATCAAGTGACATCACTAGACAAACCATCGCTTGAGTGGAACCCGAAAAGGAAGCGGGCAGCGAGTTGGTCGTCAGTACGAGAGTGGGGTGAGTTGGAGGAGGTCATGTGAAGGGGAGATGAAAGCATGTGGGCGGCAGACTTGGATCGGGGTGAAAACGTTTGCAGAGAACTGAACGCAATGGAGACGAGCGGCTGATGCCCTATGTTCCTCCAGGAATTAAAGGATATAATAATAATGAATAAAAAGTCAATAAACATTGGGATCTCAGTAGAAATCCTTAAGGACTTGATGCTAACGTGTACGCTGAATGTAAATTTTAGATGTAGTTGCTAGCTAAACCTGCAATGGGCTCTCCACTCGAATCCGTGTTAGTAGACTTCTTTCTGCGTAAATCGAAAGCTTCATCACGAAACACATGGCCAAGAGAGCTGAAGAAAACTCTTCTATATTTGCTAATATGAAACCTCTGTATATACGAATGTACTTTCATCATTGTCGAAGGTTGGTGGGATTCATGTATGACAGTTTTCTACTCTACTGAGAATTGTATGCTTCCTGAGTAAAAGGTAAATCCTGAATTCGTATTGCGATTAATTGAAGAGCAATATATATTTGATGAATAACAGAACCTCGCGTATCCTGCATAGTCGAAAGGTATCGTCTAATGGTTTCTCATCGCATGACTCGGTGTCGTTATTGTTCTCGAGTTTCTCACGCTGCTACTCGACTAGTTGAAAATGCTTATATTTGTTAGGAGATTAGGGATATGCATATAAAAGTGAAGAACGATTTTCACTACGAAATGAGTTCTTATATTTCCAATGTGATAACTTTCATAACTGACAGATATCCAGTCAGATATCCGACTCAATAATGATTTTGGTTTTTATCCCCCGTGGATTGGTATTTCTATGGTACTCATGATTGGCATCACTATGCGTTAGTAACGGTTTCGTTTCATTTAGACGATGGTCACCATAGGCTTTGATAACGCACACGACTGTAGTACTATTTGATTTTATTGTTGGGATCAATTATCTTGTGTGGTCAAATCGCATCAATTTCGGCTTACCAGGTGAATAGAGCCTCACTCGAACTAAACGTTTCTTTTAATACTTTTTGTGTCGGTAGAGTAGTTTAATTCACAGCAGTACTTCTTGTGGAACTGATTAAACTGGTTAGTTCGTTGAGTGGGATTTCATATTTTAACGTGGAGAAGCCTTAATTTGACAGATTTCTGCATCGTTTGAGGGTTAGGAGTTAACACTGAGTATCCATACTCTGTTCGTGGGTTGGCATAATGTTAAGAAACTGGTGAAGCATTCCCAATTTGTTGAGGGGACTGCAAGAATAGACCCAAAACCATTCCATTTGAAGATGTTCTGCAACGAATATGTGCTTCTCTCGAGCCAATAATGAATAATGAGGTTGACAAGGTGGATCTGTGTGGATTTTGTTGACTTCGAGGCAGTCTTCGTTAAGAAGCCATGGCAAGTGGGGCCACCGAGATCAGTCATGCGGGCTGATACTAATAAAAGTGAATGGTGATATCGCCAATTCGCGAAAGTGAGATTTCGTGAGCTATTGAATTCCAGCCCAGTTGTTGAATTGTGACACGTTAACCTCGTAATTCGGCTGTTGAGAAAGCACACTTCCGAAGTATGATAAACGTAGGCGATATGACTATCCAGCGTCCCATAATTTCCAGTGGCCGTCTACCTATGATATAACTTGTGCTGAAATATTTAGGCGTATTAAGGTGTTTGTTAGTTTTTGCAAATTATTCATTTACATTGGTGACCAGTGTACTGAAGATATTAGTAAACAGTGAAATCATGTTTCCAACTTCGGAGTGCCCAGCATTATTACTACAGACAGGGGTGCTCAATTCGAAAGCCATTTATTCCAACAACTCGCAGAACTACTGGGAATCAAGCGTATACGTATTGCTGCTAATCATCCCAGTTCAAACAACTTAGTGAAGAGATTTCATCGTCAATTGAAAGCATCATTGATGGCAGTGAAAGCTGATAATAAATGGAGCGATGAATTACCTCTTGTACTTCTTGGGATACGTTCGACAATAAAACAAGATATCGAATGTTGTCCAACAGAATTAGTTTATGGAACTACTTTACAACTTTCTGGATAATATTCCAACCCAGTCACTGAAGTTCCAACTAACGAAACTACTTTTTCACAACATATGAGCCTTTTAAGATATCATCCCCCACGACATCAGCTCAACCAAGCATACATGCCTCAAAAACTCGAGGATCGCACTCATGTCTTCATACGACAGGACAGTGTAAGGAAACCTCTTCAACCACCTTATGACGGACCATTTGAAGTAATAAGCAGAACAAGCAAAATCATCACTGTTGAACACGGTGGAAAACAAGAGTATGTAAGCATCGATTGCTTAAAACCAGCTTTCATGGAAGGAGAGGTGACTGAATGTTTACCCAAGTCATCAACGTCAGCTAAAGTTACTCCACAAAATGATTCATGCTTTCAAGATTCAAAATCTGGTGATATTCCGGCTAACAAAACAGAAAGAATCACATGGTCAGGCAGGCGAATACATTGGCCACAAAGATTTGTACAGACAATTTATTTCTGAGTAATTTCCATACTTCCTTACTACTATACTATTAACTGTATGTAAAATATAAATCTATTCTGTAACTCTTTACAATAACAACTTCATTATTACTCTAATAATTCTTCTGGTTTTATTGTTACATTTCGCACAACTTTCTAAACATTTGGGTTCATTTCAAAGTTGTTAGCATTTTTGAAAATATACAGTTATATCATAAAACATCAGAAAACTTAAATCCTCAATTTAGTTTTCAGACTAGAAAATTCATATGTTTTTTGTTTCTTCGTAATTTACAATAACATTCCGAAAACAGGTCAACTTCATTTACCTGCATTCAACGGAGGGGCTATTGTAGTGACCCATTTTATTACTCATCATCGTAGTATACTTTCACTATGTAGTTGGACTTTGATTTGTTTATCACTCTAAAGATTGCGTATTAACAATTGGTACATTGTACTCGCTCTACTTTTGGATTTTGATTCCTGCGATAATACACGCTCGTACTCCTGTTCAAGTGCCTTTTGATTTACGTTGTGGATGTCGAGTAATCACAACGTTAGGACACAATAATAAACGCGAAGAAGTACTAGGATATACGTGTACGCTAGTTTGGTCAAGTAGAACACCACAACAATTCTACTGAAGAAGCCTCGACTACACAGCGAAACGTTCAGAAAAATCTTGTTTTGATTTTCTAAACACTCTGGAATTATTTTGAGCAATTTTAGAATGATTCAGTGTGAATCGGTGTTCAAAACTATTCCAGGGAATTCACAATATCTATGGTCTGGATACTTATAATCAACCATTTGGAATTTCGATGTCAGTTATCCGAAGTTATTTCAAAAACGCTAGTGTTGTCAGTAACAGTAATGCTCTAACTATTATGGATATATAATTGTAAAAAGTGAAGAGCAGGAAGTTATTGAAAAGAATATTCGTTGTTCGTTTTTCGTGTTCTCTTTATTTTTCTGCTCTCGGGCAACTCTATGCAAAAGTGATGGCTAAATGGAACGAAAATCTCGCAGAAAACGAATGTTTTTAGATGAAGTGACGTATTTTGCATGGGGTAACAGGATGAGACACGTTGCTAAGCCTTTCATTGTAGAATTCGTGCACATTTAGTGAGATGTATTCGAATAGACTAGCAACATGATTGTACACGTGATTGTAGTTTGTATCATAACTTGTCAATCCCAACAGTTTCTGGACCGAAATTTAACGATATGTTCCTAGGCCATTTGAAAAGCGTAACATTATAAGCGGACGTGTATTTGGACAGGGTTATTCTAATGTGTCTGATGAATAGCCTCGCAACATCTCGGTTCATTTCAAGACAGTTTACATTATAAGTTTATGTGTATTTCTTGAATTACGAAAATACCAGTCAAATTGTCGTGCAAACAGTACAATATCAGTACCACAAGTACTGTTTCTGGAATAAAGCGAAATCGTTATGTTAACCTCAGCACTGGCTGATGCGTGTCCGCATCTTACAGAGAGTTAGGAGAAATGCTTGTTTACGAGTGAAAGTAAGTACGAGAACTTAGTCTGGAA